GGCAAGCCCTGAGAAAGTCCTTTCAGCTGCCACCTTTGGGTCGCTGGTCTGGCATGCTGTGACATTAGCCCTTTACTGTGCTGGGAATATATTGCTAGTCATGTAATTCCAGCTCCCTCTGAAAGCCACAAAAGAAAAGAATTATTAATGCTACTTGCTAAAATGCTAATGAGCTCATTTATAATGGAAATCCTTCACCCTTTGGGCATTAGTGGTCGGTATTGTACATTCTCCTCCATGAATCCTATATTGTGCCCGGTTGGGCCTTTAATGGTCAGCATAATTAATTGCCTTTGTGGATGCCGGTTCTTGGCACAGCCCTGCAGTAAGAGTCAACATGTATTTATCAGCACAGACACAGAATGGCCTCTCCTTTCATTGTCACTCAGTTTTGAAGTTGTGTACAGTTGGGTGTTTATTTATAGAAATCAGGCTCTCATAATAGAGGCTTCTTTTGGACAGAGTGACTTCTGTCTGAGCAGAGAGTGTGCTGAATTGTCACCTCAGATGCTGCTCCCTGTGCCGGACACCAAGAAAGTTCATTCTCTTCTGCTGCTGGGGAGGCGTACGTCCCTGATCTCAGCTGGCTTGGGGACAGTGATTGGTAGCAACCTGCTGAGCAGGAAGCAGAAGTAAAAGGCGGTCTGGTGAGCAGGATTTCTAATGTGGGTCGCCGAGATGTCCTATCCTGTGACCTGGAACCTGGCATCACTCTGTGGTCGTATTTTGTGTGCAGCGTGGCGGACTTTGGACTAGGTAGATCCTCTGGAATCTTACGAATGCTTAGAGGCAGGGAATCTTCTCTGACTGGTGGCAGAAGGGGAAGGGAGCGGGATAAGAGCACAAATGGCCTGTGGTGGGGAGGCTCCTGTCATGGGGTGAGCTCACAGCCAGCAGGTGCTCAGGGGCCTCTGTCCTGAAGCTGCAGGGAACTGTGCTGTGCCAATGTCCTGAGTATAGCAATGTGCTGTACCCAGCAATCCAGAGGAGCCGGGGTCTGTGGCTACACTGTGCCTGACTCCTGGCCCCTGGAACTTGTGCCAGGGTTGGCTTGTGTAGTTGTAAGTCACTAAGTTTGTGTGAGTTGTGACTCAGCCACAGAAATCCTAGGCAGGTGGCAGATGCTGGTCACGCAGAGGGGACCCCACCTCTCCTGAAGCTCCTTGCAGACCCTACCATCTCGTGCTGCTGCTGCTGCTGCTGCTATGATGCTTTGTGTTTTCCTTGTAGAATGATTGAACGGTGACTTGGCTTGCTGTGACCATGATCCATGGTAAGACAAAGTTTTCGTTGAAACCTAGCTTGCTTATTCACAGCTGAAAGACCTGGCTCTCTCTGAAGACTTCATCCATGTATTACGCACACTCTGGCTGTCTCCGTTTTACTGGCTTCTGTTTTGTTTTTTAAAATGTAGGTTATAACTCATGAGTCTAGTTCACCTACCTGCTGTCTCAGAGCTGGATAGTCATTACAGTTGTTGGTGCTTCTGGAGGTTTCTGTTTTCGTTTTTGTTTCCCCTAGTACTGGAGATTGAACGCAGGGCCTTCACAATGAGCTATATCCCCAGCCCATTAAATTTTTTTTTTTTTATTTTTGAGACATGATCTTGCTCAGGCTGAGTTCAAACTTGTGATCCTTCTGCCTCAGCCTCCCAGAGTGCTAGGATTATAGGCGTGCCCCATGCTTTACTTTTTAGACTACCAATAATCATCTGTTGCTCTTTAAATGAGTTTCTATGTGGAAAATACTGCTTTCCTCAGGCAGTAGCATGGCACTTCCTGGGGTCTCTGTGGAGAGTCAGTATCCCCCAGACAGGCTCCTGGTCTTTTGTGATTCTGTCTGAAGTGCTGGCCAGAGGGCTTACCCTGTGTCCATTCCTGGGAGCAGTGAGGGTCCCCTCCTCTCCATTGACAGCCTGTTTCTCTGTCCTGTAGATGTAGCTGCTTGCCTCACCAGCTGCAGAGGTAACCTTAGCCTGGGCTATGCAAACCCCTTGGTGCTGGGTGAGGAGAAATTCCTAAAGAATTGAACATGCCTTTGATTCTGAGGCTCTTGCCGGCTCGTAGAGGTCTTGCAGAGCATAAGCCTGCCTGTTTGCCCACACTGCTGCCAAAGTCAGTATTACTTCGTTTACTTTCTCTTGTTAATGATGTTAGCTCATTATGGTCAATTTGTTTTTCTCACTGTGGGAGAAGTTAAGCATCTCTGCATGTTGTGAAGCCCGTGTGTACATCCTTCCCATTTACCATTAGGTCATCAGCTTGACATTCAGAACCCCAGTCCCACTAGCCTACCCCTCGAAGCCTTGTGCTTGCTGGTGGGATTCGCATGAGCACCCTGGGCACAGAGCCCAAGACCCACTGTTGATTCTCAGCTCTCCTAGTGTAGGGAAGGGAGAGTGTAGTGTAGTGCTGGGGTTTGGTGCAGTGGCGGGGAGGTGAAGGAAGAGGCTGTGAGTGGGGAGTTTCCTGCCACCCACCGAGAACTGTCACTAAGGCTGATGACTATGACTGACGGAAGTCATCGCCCAATGAGTATCACCCTGGCCACTCCCATGGCTGTACCCCCTGGCCCCAGAGGGAGGGGATTTAGAATCCTCAAGGGTCTATGGGAAGCCTCTTCCCCACATCTTGAATGGTGAACCCATGGAAAAGTGCTGGGAGCCTCCAGTGTGGCCACACTGATGTCTGGTGGTGCTGTCATTCTTGAGAACTTCAGGAATGGAACTGGGGCTTGGACAGAACCCAGAGGCTTACTGTGGCAGAATTCATTACAACATTTTAAGAAAATGGGATTTTCACACAGTTTTAGCCAAGAGATTGCTTTCTGCTCGCCCCCCCCATCCCCCTCCACAACTGGAAGGTCTCATTTGGGAGTCAACAGGAAGTTCCCGGAATAGGGCTCCAGTTTTCTAAGCACACTTGGGTTTTCCCGTCAGGAACAGCCTCGCCTTCTGCTGTGGCTGTCAGGTCCTATGTGATATGACCCCATGGGGAATCAAGTGCTCAACATCAGCCATGGTGGCACAGACCTCGGGTTTGCTGCTTGTGCCTTCCAAGGCTTAGGGGGAGCTGTGGGCTTCCCTTTCCTGTGGGTCAGGCTATCTTTAGGGTCTTGTTGATAAGTCAGCAGTGTCACTGTTACATAGGGTGGTTGACAAAGGCAAACAAGGCTGGACATGCCTTCCTCCCAGCCCACCTATGGAGAGGCTGTGATGACCTTCACGTCTCTGCTGTGCACTGTAACCAGCCCATGGGTGCTGAGCAGAGCTGGTCACCCTCGGACATTATGGAGAGAGCAGGAAACTGATGAAGGCTCTTAGCATCAGGGTATGTTGGGGCAGAGAGGCTGGTCCTTGGGGTGCCTCCTGCTATCTGCATCCTTGCAGGGGTCAGTAGAAAAGCCCAATACCAGGAGGCCTGGTGTTCTGCTCAAGGTGCATAGGTGGAGCCAGGGGCAGCTGCTCCAGGGGAAGGTGGCCTGCCACTGGGCCTGCAGGACATGGAGTACCACAGACCTTGCCCCTATGGTCCCAAGGTCCCTCTCCTCTGTGTTTCAGAAATACTAATGGGAGAGGAACTTGGTACTCCGTTTCAGAGTAGAGAGGTGGGTAACTGGGCCAGGTGGGGCGCTGGCATTAGGCAGCAGGGATGGGGGAAGTGAGTCTCGGTGGTGCTCACTGTCCTGAGGGAGGATAGGTGACAGGTGCTACAGAACGGTGTCTCAGTTAACCACAGGCCCATGTACAGCAGCAGCCCTGTAGGATTTCTGATGCAGCTGGAAAACTGCTGTCACCTGGTAACATCACAGCCTGCCCATGCTGTCGTGCAGCTCACCACAAGCATGTGTCACGTCTGGTGTGAGCCTCTGTGTTATGGGTCCTACTGGAGCACAGCACAGGCAACTGAATGCCCGCAAGTGCAGTGTACAGACCGCTGTGCTGTGCCCCACAATTTCCGAGGTGCTCTTCTTTTTTTTTTTTTTTTTTTGGTACCAGGAACCAAACTCATGACCTTGCGCTTGCCAGGCAGGCGCTTTTGCCGCTGAGCTAAATCCCCAGCCCCTTTCCGAGGTGCTCTTGCTCACTGGTGTACGGATGGCTGCAGAGCTCTGCCAAGTCACCCAGGCAGCAACTCCATACTTCTCATAGCCCCTGCTTCCTGTAACCCACCTGTGCCACCTCGGCTGGTGCAAGAGTACACATGGCATTTGCACAGGGATAGGCTCTCCTCCCCCAGCTGCATGGTTGACACATGGCCCTAGAAGGATGTGAGGCCCTGGAGCCAGACAACCTGGCTCTATAGGCCAAGCCTAGGCTCGTCCTCAATGGCCTGGGCCCCTGGGGCCGTGTGCAGCTCTTGTCCCACCTGGTTTCTCCCTGGTCGCTGTGGTGTCCTCTTTGTATAGATCTCCTGATTTTGGCTTGTTTAGCACCCTTCTGAAGTCTATTCTGTCCTGCAGGCCCTTTCTCCTGGTTGTTTCAAATTTAAATTATATTACTTTTCTTAATTCATAATCCCAAGGTTAGAGCTCTTGGTAGCATTCTTTGCTCAACCTTTCTGAGCCAGGCTTGGTGTCATGGCCCGTGGCATTGTGTAGGATGAGAGCTGTGACCGGGGAGGCTTTGTGTGAGGCCGTGGCAGGGGCACACAGATCAGGAACAGGGAGGCCAGGGTCAGCAGGTGTGGACCATGCAACTTGTACATGGGCAGAGCCCCTGAGTGTGCCTGCTCTTGTGACCTCATACAGAGTGGCTAACTTCAGGTGCTTAGGAATCAGCCCTGCAGCTATAGGAGCCTAGAGTGATTCTCGTGGCCCCAGGTGTTACCAGATAAGGAGCAAGGGCCCTGCTGCTTGTTCCTGAGATTCAAAGGACCCTATTGTGTACTTCTCCATGTGGGGCAGGGGGATAGCAGGTGTTGGGCAACTCCTCACCCAATGCTGCCCTGAATGAGAGGTTTCTGCTCCTCCTTGAACACTGACCGGCTCTATCATTGCAGGCTGGGAGTCCTCCGTCCTCATCGGCTCCGGTGTCTGCCTTCTCTCACACTTCTATCACACCATCCAACCAGGACATCTGCAGGTAACACTTGGCTTCACATGCAGTACGGTCCGTGCAGTCCCAAATCAGCACTATGTCTGTAGGCTGTTGGTTTCCCATGTGCTGGGTGGTTCTGCCTGTGGTCTCACAGTCAGTCCATTTTGTGTGCTGTTTGCTCAGTGCCCCACACAGGCCTCACACCATCACCATGGTGTCTGCTCTCTGACATGGTCTCACTCTCTGCTTTATCCCACTGTTCTGCATGCAGTTCCAGCGCAGTGGTCTCTGACTTTTGTCACCACAGTCCTGTGCAGTCTGCTGTTGTCTTGAAAGCTCCTCCCTGCCAGAGTTCTCTAACACCAGGGCTCACTGTGACAGTTGTCTGTAAAGACACACTGCAGTTGACCAAGAGAAACCCCTCAGGTCCAGAATGGGCTGAGACCTGGAAGCCTGCCAAGAGCACTAAGGCTAGAAGAGCCCTGAAGTTCTCCAAGTCCCTAAGCGATGTGGGGGCGAAGGCCCAGGACAGCCTGGAGAGTGCCTGCTTCGTGGAGAGAACCTGCTCTGAGGGGAAGCTGGCTCTGCCCCCAGGCCCCAGTCTCAGGACTAGCAGATTCCTCCTCAAGGAGCGGAGAGTGCTGAGCCACACTCCTCTCATCCACTCCAAATACGCGTGCATCCCATCCCTGACTGTGCCCCGGCCAGCTGCCTGGGAGGTGGGCACCAGCAGGAGGGGTGAGCACGGCCCCCTCTGGGAGGAGAAGGCGGATGGCGAGGCTACATCCAGGAGCCGGCGCCTGCTCCGCTACCTGCTTTCTCTGTCCCGTGGCTCAAGCACCAGCAGCCTGCACCGATTCCATGAACTGGAAGCGCACACTGGCCACCTACATGCCACCCCCTCCTCCAGTGGGCTGGCGGGGAGCACGGGCTTCTGCTCAGACGAGATGGGTGATGACGATGTCTTCGAGGACAGTGCATCCACCAGGCTGAAGAGCATAGCCCTGCGGGCACCCCTCTGCTCTGTGGAGAAGGACAGTGATCTGGATTGCCCCTCACCCCTGTCTGAGAAGCGGCCCCCAGCCTCCCCTGTGTCCACCTCTGGGGACGCCTGCAGGTTGGTGTGCGGGGACCACGTCTGGCCGGCCCTGCTCGCACCGCTGCCTCCCTGGCTTTAATATGTGAAGTTTCTGGAAAATAGAACATGAAATGGCTTAGCCGGTGTGGGCTAGTGGTCTTCTCCAGGAGCACAGATGCCATCTAGAAACAACAGTTTTAGACGAGGAAGAAGCTACACATATTAAAGGCCAAGATGACTCATTCCATCTAAAAATCTGTAGATTTTTTGGAAGAAAAAGATAGTATCTCCAGCCTGGTCCAGTTTCAAGCATGTGCTGCCCCCAGCTGTTTATGTTGCTACCCCCATCCATGGGGCAGAGGCTTCTTTGCAGTAGCCCCCTGCTCCCTCTCCCTGTGCGCTGCTCCTGGCCCTCATGGCACCTACCCTGTCCTCCCGCTCAGTACCTCTTGTGGCCCCAGACCTGCTAGTTCTCATGCCTCCCTCCTTGGTGGCAGCTGTGACACTTCTCACAGATCTGGCCAGGCTGGTCCTGGGTGCTCCAAGCACAGGCATTCCTACCTGTCCCTGCTACAGGAAGAAAGCCCTGTTCTCGGAAGCCTGCCAGAGTTCCATGGGTCCTAGAGACATCCTGCTGCGCTTTAGAGCTAATGCCCATTTGGTGCCACTGCAGCACCTGTGGTGGCGAGTTTCGGGTGGAGGAGAGGTGCTGTGACTTCAGCCCACCATGAGAGGGGGCAAGAAGGGCTGGTGTGCTGTGGGGATGTGGGCAGGCTGCATGGGAAGCATGTGTCGCCACTTAGCTGCCGGCTATGACCCCTGTGTCCTGGATGGTAACTTCTGTTGCCTGAACTCATCTCAGGGAGACCATCAGTGTTGATGCTTTTTCATTTATCACATCACTTTTCCTCTGTTGCTCTGGCCCTTCTTGCTTTCCGTGTCAGTGTGATGAGCTAGACGCTTTAGTTTTAGTTGCTGTTTCATCCGTGTTTGTGTTTCTGTGCTCATCGTCGCTTCTGTGCTGTTCCTGAGTTTTCTTAGGGGACTGGCCTCTGGGCATGTCCCCTCCTGGCATGGCCTTCCTGCAGTGACAGTTTTCGCTCCCCGCAGGATCTGCCACTGCGAGGGCGACGATGAGAGCCCCCTGATCACACCGTGCCACTGCACGGGCAGCCTACACTTTGTGCACCAGGCCTGCCTGCAGCAGTGGATCAAGAGCTCTGATGCGCGGTGCTGCGAGCTATGCAAGTACGAGTTCGTCATGGAGACCCGGCTGAAGCCACTGCGGAAGGTATCAAGGGCCCCGCCCATCCCCAGACCTCCCTGAGGCAGTAACGATGCACATCCTGTTGCTCTCTCCAGGGCTGATTCTCAGATCCCATTATCTTCCCTCCTTACTCAGTCTGGCATAGTACACAGCATGTCCATCTACACTGGGACAAGAATTTGCTGGGGGTGGGGGCTCAGCTGTGCTCAGGCTCCAACCCCTGCTCCCGCTCCTGCAGGAGCTATGCAGTACTGGCTATTTATCCAGACTCTGGTAATACATCTCTCTGTATGCCCAGTGTGGTCACATTGGAGAAAATGAAAGACTGTCATGTCTCTGAGCATTAGTAACCACTTGCTGGGACTCCCAGGGTGGCATAGCAGCCCACGGCAAGGCCAGTGTGGTGCTGGGTCAGAGGTGACTGGGGCCTGCAGAGATCCTTTTGGGCCCCCGTGGAGCAGGGTAGAGATGCTTGGCATTGGTTGAATCTGCAAGGAGCGTGGGCCTTTGCAGGCAAAGTGAAGGAGTTAGAAAAGGTGGGGCATCTGTGGAGAAGAGCTTCCACCAGTCATGTGGGGAGGCCTTGTCTCAGGCTGTGGCCTAGGCTGAACGTCCTGGGCATTAGCAGGGTGCAGAACAGCCTGTCTCTAGAGGAAGCCAGAACACGGGGACAGACTAAAAGCCCTGTCTCAGGGAAGGTCTGGAATGTATCAGATACCTGCCCTAGGCTGGCTCTCCAGGTAAACAATCTAGGACAGTTGAGGTAAACTGAGGCACTGCTGTCAGCTCACTTGCACAGAACACCTGGATAGGCGCTGCGACCAGTGTTGGCTGGGGGTCTGCACAGTGCGCACACTGTGTTCTCTTCACTTTATGTTTTCTTTTGCCTGGGAAACAATGAAAAAGAAACTACACTACCTGGAGTCTGAAATGGCTCCTTGCAGAGTTGGCTGTGCTGGGAACTCAGCCTGGTTCTCAGCTGTGCTACTGGGGCCTCAGAGGACCAGTGAGTGCCTCTGCCATTCACACACCCAGCTGTGACACTGAGTGCACCAGGGAGACCTGAAATGCACGTCTGAGTCAGGACTGAGGTCAAAGGCCTGTGCCTGGCGGGCTACCGAGTGTTGCAGCAGGAGGAGCAGATGGGCTCACTGCTGGCCCAGTGGTCCCCACAGTCCCACCACACAGGGCCTTGGTTGTGCTTGGTCCCAGCTGCAGTGAGTGATTTCCAAGGACAGCTCTGGAGTTGAGGGAATTCATCTGGTTGGAGGCAGTTGTCACCAGTAGCCCTATCACCCCCAGTGTGGAGAAGGACATTCTTTGATTAGAATGCATTGAAGACACGAAGATTTGTTAGTTAGAGTTTCTTAAGATAAGGCTTTATTATACAGCCTGGATTAACCTTGAGTTTACGATCCTTCTCTCTGAGCCTCCTGGGTGCTGGGAATATAGGCGTGTCTTGGATCTCATGTGGGGAAGAGTAATCCTTTAACTCTCCTTGCTAAAACATTTGGTATCCACCCATTTGTACTTGGTTCTGGCTCAATAAAAGGTGACTGAGATTGGTAATCGGGGCTGTAGTCCTATAGGCTGTAAGCCCCCTGATCCCAGACTTTTGCCTCTCTTGTTTTGCTTGTCTCTTTTTTAAAAAATTTTTCTTATTCATCCACGGGCACCTCCTTCTCAGGACCAGTTCACCCTGGACAGATAGGGATGATTAGTCCGACACCCCAGCAACTCTGCAGTCTGCGCCCCAGGCTCATACTCACATGTCCTCTTTCCAGTGGGAGAAGCTGCAGATGTCAACCAGTGAGCGAAGGAAGATCATGTGTTCGGTGACCTTCCACATCATCGCCATCACCTGTGTGGTGTGGTCCCTGTATGTGCTCATCGACCGTACTGCTGAGGAGATCAAGCAGGGGCAGGCAACAGGTAGGTGCTCAGAGAGTGGCGTGGGAGCTGGGAGGGCCTTCTCTGCAGTGTTGAAAGTGAAGGGCTGGGAGAGTCCGTCAGACGACCGGGATCCCTGGACTCATGGTGGAAGGGCCTGCAGTCGTGAGAGTGCACAGTCGGATTGCATTCCCTTCCCCCTCCTGGCAGCTGATGGAGTCTCTTCCTTCCAGGCATCCTGGAGTGGCCTTTTTGGACTAAGTTGGTGGTTGTGGCCATTGGCTTCACTGGAGGACTTCTTTTTATGTATGTTCAGTGCAAAGTCTACCTGCAATTGTGGAAGAGACTGAAGGCTTACAATAGAGTGATCTATGTTCAGAATTGTCCAGAAACAAGCAAAAAGAATATTTTTGAAAAATCTGCACTAACAGAGCCCAACTTTGGAAATAAAGACGGACATGGACTCTGCCATTCTGACACAAACTCCTCCTCTTGCACAGACCCTGAGGACGCTGGGGCGGAGATCAACCACGTCTGATGTGTTCCTGGACATCTGTGGGATGCCGAAGGATGTTGTTTACTGCCAACTGTGTACTTTTCTCCTGCCCTTTAATAGCAGAGTCTGGCAGGCAATGAGCTCTGCTGGCCTCTTTTGTGAACTCTCCTTGATGATCAGAAGCCGTCTTGTGACCAGCATGTCAGGGTCCCTTCTGCCAGGCTGCTCTGGGGGCGGAAAGGTGGGAGGCCCTGGTGGCTACCACGGAGGCTGCTGAACTCTGCTCCTGGTCTCCACAGAGTGAAGAATGAAATGCCAAACTTAAGGGTCCAGCTGGAGCAGGGTGCAGGGGGAGACAGCCTTGCCCTGCCTGGCCATCCCCTGAGCCTGCAGCACCTGATTTCCTAAACAAGCAGCACTTTACGGAAGAGTCTTTATTTTTTAATGTGTCTAGTGGGATTGACACTTAAAAAGCATCACATTTAGAAATCTTCCCTTCACCACTCTAGTTATCTCTCTCACGTGAAAGTAAAGCTGAAACTCTCTTTGCCTTATTTATTGTAAGAATCGGGACCTTTTCCCTGTGGGACGTGACACCGGGACGGCACTGGTGGGAATGGTGGTACCCAGTGGCCGGAACTGGGTTCCCTCCTGGAGTCCGTCTCCAGGACCGCCTGTGTTTCCTCTAGGTCAGCACTGAAAAAAGAGGGCTTTGGACATCAAAATGGGAGAAGTCTGTACTTAGTGCAGCTGAGTATTTAGAAATCATGTCCTTCACACAGCGGGCTCCGGTTGCTGCCAACTTTACAGGGAGGGGACAGGAATGTGCAGCTTGGTGTTCCTGGTACCTGCCCCCATGGCACTGTGGAGTTGCTGTGGGTCCCAGAGGGGACAGCATACTGCCAGGGCCACCCAGCATGGCCTTAAGGGACTGGAAAGACAAGGTCCTCCAGGGCTTGATCCTGCTCAGCCCACCTGTCATCAGGATGCCTCTGGCACTGTTCATGGTACAAAACCAAAACCACCACCTCACATGGCCTTGTCCCTTTAAAAACTCTGCCTAAAATTCTGTTCTCAAAGGCCACTGTCACAGTCCCAGGCAGACAGTGAACCCAGGAGGCAGCCAGGATCCTGCAGTGCAAGCAAGAGGCCCAGAGTGTGCCATGGCCACTGCCAGTGCTGTGTCTGTACAGTCCCCACCAGCGCCTTCACAAACAGGAGGGCTCGCGGCCCCAGGAGGGCCCTGCAGGTTGAGCTGCTCCTCCACCCTGCAGGTACCAACCATAGCTGCCCCTGAGGTCCCCTGCCCTCTGCTCCCTGGCCACATCCAGCCTGTGCCTGTGCCCACTGTGCCCAAAGTGCAATTACCACGTCCCTGTTCAGTGCAGGGACACCCGGCAGCTACAGGCTGCCCACTCAGGGGAGTGAGCCCACCAGCCCTGCCCAGACCCCAGGAACTGCCCTGTAAGGCCTGAGTCCATGCACCTGCCCTGCCGCCCTCCAGTGGGGGCCTTGTGAACTCCTCCTCCTGGAGCCCCATCCCCTGAACCTGGAAAGCCCTGAGACTCAAGTGGACAAGAGCGTGTGCAGTGGGGGATCTGACACCCCATCGGCAAAGGTGCGCTTGCCTTGCCCACGCCCAGCTGGAAACCTTCGCCTTTGTCAGGAAGGCCGGCACCATCGGCTCTCGGGCCACTCTGCAGACTGATCCCACATCTTTCCCTCCCTCAGGGCCTTGGCTACCACTTGCCTTTCCCTTTCTGTGGGTCCTGACCACAGAGCCTTTAGCTTTGCCCATGCCCTGTAGTTGCCGGGGGGTGGGGGCTTATCCTTGGTCTCACCTTGCTTCTACCTGGCTTCAGTGGAGGTTGGCATTTGGCTGAGCCACACACAATCTCAGGCTCAGGTGGTCTCAGGAGCAGGAGGGCAGAGGCCACAGTCTCAGGGTGTCACTGCTGGCCATCTCTGCGGCTCCAGTACCACTGGCAGTCTCTGACTTTGGCTCTTGGTCCAAGTCTGTGAGGTGCCCTGCCTAGTGTTGTGGACACTGCTGGGCACACACACGGGAGCTGATGCCCCTCCCTTTAAATCTCATTTCCAATATGCAACTTCCCCCTTTATCCCAAGGAAGGACCCAAACACAGGAAAATAGAAGCATTTATCTTTGTTTTGGAAGTGATTATTCAAGGTGCACAGCTGATCTGTGCATATTAGATGCAATGTTTATACAAAGTTGATTGTTAATAAAAACCAAATTTACACTGGCATGTGTGGTGTATTTTATAAAAGGCACTTCACGTTTGAAATTTTTCTTAGGAAATTTCTAGCAATCTTAATGTTTAGTTTTGTATCCTTTGTGTACTTTCACTGTCCTTCAGTGTTACCACTTGAGTAGCCCTGTGTGCAGGGAGTCCATGCATCTAACTGCAGCAATAAAGCCTTTCTTCACCAAGGAATTGGCCGTGGGTGTTTCCCTTTGCCAGGCCTCACCTGCTTAGACATCAGGGAGGAATGTCCTGTGTTTGCGGCCTGATTTCCTTGACTTGTCTCAGACTCAGTTTGTGGGGCCCAGGAGGATACAGTGGGGGTGAAAGGGAGGCATTTCATGTAAGCATGGGTGCTGCTGTGACTCCGGGGCTCAGTGTCTGCGTCATGTCCGAGGTCCATGCCCAGTAGAGAGGACAGGGTGACCAGCACTGCTGGAACAGCAACTGTGCTCTGCCAGGCAGTGGGTCCTGGCCTATGCAGGTTTCCCCAGGGCATGGTAATGCCTTGGTCCTTGGGCTGGTATGCCAAGTACGGGTCCTACTGCCCTGCTGCTCTCAGGCTGGTTGTGTGAGGCGAAGGGGAGACAGGAGGTTGCTCGGTGGAGCTGCGACCACGGCCCAAGTGCCCTGGGGAAGGCTGCTCCAAGGCTCCTGAGTCTGTCCAGGAAGGACCAGTGGGGCAGACATCCCAGGCTCAGGGCAACCCAGTCCTGTGAGGGTGGCAGTGCTTTGGGGACCTGTGAAACGACTGGTTGAAGAGACACCAAGTGGTCTACTACCCTAAAATCAGCTGGGTGATTAGGCGCTGGCTATCCTGTCACATACTGTCCGGTGAGTAAGCGTGTGTGGGCACCCATGGGCTCCTGCTGATTTCATCCCGCTTGGCAAAGGTGGGGAAGGAGTTGAGGCAATTAGGTGGGCCACAGAGCCTATAACACTTTCTTTGTGACCCTTTCTAGGAGACATTTGCCCACTGCTGAGGTTTGATGGTGGATCAAGCCCCACAAAGACCGTGTGTCCGACTGGTTCCCAAGGGCTGCTGTTGGGAGGTGCTGCAGATCTTAGGGTAGGGCTAGAGGGAGGCCCTTGGGATCTTGTCCTGCTGGATCTTGGGACCTGATCTTTTCCTCTTATTCTTGCTCCTGTCCTACATTTCCTCCTGGATTGTCATCTCAGATATTTGAGTTCTCTATTTTACGTTTAGGTCTATGATCCACATTGAGTTAGTGTGTGTAGAGGGTGTAAAGTGTGTGTACATTTATGTCTTCAGTACCAGAATATAGAAATACCACTGATTTGATATATTAACTTCATGTCCTGCAACCTTACTGCTGTAATTCCTTATTAGTTTTAGGAGTTTTTAGTATATGTGCTGCCAAAGTGAGCACAATTTCACAGGTTTTTGTTTTTGACATTTTGTTTCTTTTGTATATTTTTTATTTCCTTTTCTTGTCCTATTGACTTAGGTAGGACTTTGTAAGTTTTTTCCACATCTTACTAGGAAGATTCTTAAACACCAGACATTTAAATAACAGTGTAATGAGAGTACACATGCCTTGTGCTCTCCAATTAACATTTTCTTCTGTATGGTTTGTCACACAGCTCTGCATTTATTGCTGTTAGGTTGTGTTTTTGCATTTCAGAGGAGATTGCAGCTGTACCGTGCGCCAGCCATGTCGATTTCCTTAGTAACTAGAATTCTGTATTTGCTAATTGTGCTTTTTTTTTTTAGGTACTTGTACAGTGAAATGCGCAAATCTGAAGTGTACCATCTGGTTGGGTTTGCCAAGTGTATCCATTTATGTAGCCCAAGCCACTATCAAAATACAGTACGTTATCTCAGTCCTGGAAATTCCTTGACATCTCTTCTCATTTCCTCTTCCCCTTGTCCCTCATTCTGAGATAAGTTTTAACCTGTTCTGGAATTTAATTTTAACAGAGCCATACAGTATATGCACCTTTTGAGGAAATATGCAGTATCTCTCATGGAAGAATTTTAGCTGTCAGTATAATGATTGTGAGATTCATCTGTGCTGTTTGATGACCTTTTCCCATCAAGTAGCATCCTGCTGTAGACTATACCTCTCTTCACCCACTTCTTATTGCTGGATACTCAACTACTTCTACTTTGGCACTATCACAAATAAAAGTACTAGGAGTATTTTTGTACAGATATTTTTGTGATTGTGTCTTCCTCACACTCAGGTAAATATTTAGGAATGCAATACTGGTGGCATTGGGACGGTTAGATTTCTACTTTTAATATTTTATGTTGATACAAAGGTAAAATCATAAAATGTAGAAACCCTGTAGCTCAGTAAGACCACTTATACCCACTTGTCTTGTGCTGTCTTCCTACAAAGTGAATTTAGATGCGTTACAGATGCCACACAGCAGTGCCACAGTGCTTGGTTTAAATGGGAAGATGTAAGTTCAGAGATGAAGAGGGGAAAAGGGCTTTACATTCACCATACTTTCCCCATTTTGGGCTGTTTATTCCTTCTGAGCACCTGCGTTCCCACCTGACTCATTTCCTATCTCCCTGAACAGATTCCTTTAGCATTTTTAGTACTGTAGATAGGCTGGCAATAGCTTCTCTTAATTTTTTTATTTTATGGGAAAAAGTAAAACAAAATTTCATAATAAAATAATAGAATAACAATAATAGTTAATGCATTGCATACTGTTATCTTTAAAGCAATTACTCAGTTACAAGATGTGGGCATAAAAAATGCTTCAATTGATACTAGCACAAACCTACCTTTTCAATAAACTGAGAGACACTAGTGGTATAACTCACTTGCGTTTTTTTTCCTTTTACATTCCTTTCCCCTTTCCCCCATCCTGGTTCCTTTTTCCTTTTGAACTATTTCTTCCCTTTTCACCATATCTGTTGTACATTTTAGACCTTTTCTGTTCTTTCAGTTTCTCACACCAGAGAGACAATATGATGTTTACATATGTGAATCAGATTTATTTCACTTATGAGTATGGTCTCAAGTTGCATCCATTTACCCATAAAAGTCTCAAGTTTATCCTTCTTTATGGCTGAGTAGTACTCCATTGTATAAAAGACCACATTTTTTTTTTATCCATTCCTTGGTTGATGGGCATTTGGGTTGTTTCTAAGATTTAGCTATTACAAATTTTGCTGCTATGAACAGGTGCACAGATAGTGCTATGATATGTTTTTAATTTCTCTGGGAAGATACCCAGAAGGGAAACAGCTGGATTGAATGGAACCTCTAGTCCTAGCTCTCTGAGGACTCTCCATACTGATTTCCATAGTGGTCACACCAGTCTACACTCCCACCAACAGTGGAGAAGAGTTCCTTTTTCTGCACAGCCCCTCCGGCATTTTTTATTGGCTTTGATTTATTGATGATAGCCATTCCTAAGATGGAATATCAGTGTTGTTTTAATTTGCATCTCCCAAATTACCAACTAACATTTTTTTCATGTATCTATTTACCATTTGTGTTTCTTCATCTGAGAAGTGTATTCATCTCAGCTGCCCATTTTTGGATTGGGTTTTTGAATTTGGGGTATCTGATTTTTTTTCAATTCTTTATATGTTCTGGATAGACATCCTTTGAGGGACAAGGCCAAAATTTTTTCCCACTCTGTGTGTTGTCTTTTCATTCTGTTGATGATGTCTTTTGATGTGCAGAAGCTTTTTAATAACATGAGATCCCAGTTGTTGATTCTTTGAAGTATTTCCCATGCAGTCTGGTTTTGTTCATGAACTCTGCCTACATCTATGTCTTCAAGATTTCTTTTCCAGTAGATTTCTACTTTCTCTTTCAGTAGATGTAGTGTTTCTGTTTTAATATTTAGAGCTTTGATCCATTTTTACTTTAGATTAGTGCATGGTGATAGACATGGGTCTCGTTTTAGTCTTCAGCATGTAGAAAACCAGGTTCTCCAGCACCATTTATTAAAGAGGCTATCTTTCTTCCAGTAAACATGCTTGGCCTCTTTGTCAAAGATAAGGTGGCTGAGTGTGTTTGTAGTTGTGTCTGCATCTTCTAATCTGTTCCACTGATCCTCAGATCCATTTTTTTTTTTGCCAGTACCATGCTGATTTTATCACGGTAGCTTTGAAGTATAATTTCAAGTCAGGGATTGTGATGCCTCCTGCCTTGCCTTTGTTGCCCAAAATTGCCTTGCTATTCTAGGTTTCTTCTGTTTCCAAATGAGTTCTATGAATGTTTTCTCTAGTTCTGTGAGGCATGTTGATCAAGTTTGCAGTAAGTCTGTATAATAATTTTGCATGAGTATGGCCATTTTCATTATGTTGGTTCTTCCTATCATCTTTGATCTCCTTTTTCAGAGTACTGTAATTTTCAGTTTATAATTTTTTTTTTACTGCCTTTGTTAGATAGATTCCTAAATACTTCATTTTTTGTGTGTGCTATTGTGAAGGGTGTGGTTTCACTAATTTCTCTTAGTGAATTTGTTGTTTGCGCACAGAAATGCTACTGATTTTTGAGTATTGACTTTGTATTCAGCTACACAACTGAATTTGGTTATTATAATTGGTGGTGTTTTCGGTGTGTTCTCTGTAGAGTATCATTATTTTACTTGAACTTTTTGTTTTCATCCTTGAAGAATATTTTTGATGGTGGCAGAATTGTTTTGGTGGGTGCCCCCTCCCCTGCACCTTTTTACTTTGAAAAGGCTGTTCCATTGTGTTTTGATTCTGATGGTTCTGATACAAAGTTGGCTGCCACTCATGTTTGTTCCTTGGTATTTTCTGTATCACTGCTTTTAAGATTTTATCTTTGACTTTGGTTTTGAGCAGGTTGATTCTGGGGTATGTAGGTACAGTTTTCTTTCTGTTCATTCCACTTGGGCTTTGCTGAGTTTCTGGCAACTTTAGATTTATGCATTTCACGAAATTTGGGAAATTGTGGCCATATTTATTTCTTTTTACCTTGTTTTCTTTTTATCTCTCTTTTTTCTAAGATTCTGATTACATAGCTGATAAAAGTTGTCTTATAGATTTCTGAGGCTTTATTCATTAAATTTTTTTATTTGCACTTTGGATTGGATCATTTCTGTGGATTGTCCTCAAGCTAACCCTCTCTGTCCTCTCTGCTGCTATTACAGCCCTTGGGTTGTTTTTCCTCAGATATTTTTAGATTTTAAATTTGTATACCTTTGGCTGCTCCTCCTCCTGCTCTTTC